ATATTTTGAATCACTTCGGAAATGCTGCCGTAACACCAGACTGAGTTCACAATATCGAGTGATTTTGATTGACAGGTGTAGCGCCGTTGTGCATGGATTTCGTGTAACTATACATGTACTGCAGATTGTGGTTGAAAATAATAAACAAACAGATCTAAAGAAAAGATATTGTATACTGTACATATATTTGTTAAGAACCAGTTCATTCATGAAACGAATTTAGCCGTATTATGTGGGCCCATGTTAGATTTGACAGGTTGATTTACTAGTAGAAATTCAATGGACCACCGTCATTTAGGGTATTCCGAATCACCCCGCACATCGCGACTCTCGGTAATTTACCTTACCGCTGTACCTCGCACGACACATGCACAGGTGTGACAACCAAACAGTCATTATTAGTAAGGTCTATACTTATTGCATACAACAAATAAAGAGGTAAACATAATGCGTTAACTAAAAGAATTAATTATTTTAATTCATTAACTTCCTATCCTTTTCGAAGAAAATGCCCGTGTAGAAACGTATTTCTCATCGATGTCGTGGCGTTGTTGGTGGATGAAACATGGCATATAAGGTATCGATAGAACGGCAATTTTATAAGCTTTTGTGAGTATTATTTGTTTTTTATAACACCTCAAAAATATACTAGTTATGGCCGCATTTGTAGCCCTCTACAGTTTCGAACCACGTGTGTACATGCCCCTAGCCAAATAAATTGCACACGCTACATGTTTACTTGTTATATCTCATATTATTATTTTTTTTTATAACATTGTTTTTCTTAAATGCAAGGGGTATGAAAGTAATGATTTGACAAAGCAAGAGCTATAATAAGACTATCCCGGGTCCCGGTATACACTTGATCAGTGTTGATCAATGTTCATATGTACGAGTACACGTATGCAAATAATTCGATAGCTTTTGAAGATTTCAACATACATTTTTGTAACACGCATATTTGTAATAACCACTTTATATACAAAACAAAATTTCATTCTCTTATATGGTAATATGGACGTCGTAATAGATCTGACTGAATGCTTGACATGCCTGTTTCAAAAACGTTTCCTAAGTTATCTTAAGATATGCCTAAGTTATAACTTTAGAAGTTCCTAAGATTTATCACAGCTGTATCGCGAAACAATCTTATCTAAAAAAAAAAATTATAAGTCATTTCTTAAGTTGTGCCTTTAAGGACTAATAAAATAACATTCCCGCTCTATATACAACACTCAGTATGGTATATATTTTTAGATTCAAAAAGGAAGGGTGCGAGGATTAGGGATTGCCCCCACTTTTAAAGGATTTGGACACAAGTATGCTTAACTTTGCGAAGTGTTTTGCTAGATCTAAGCATTCACAGACACACCCTTTCAAGCCATCTTCCCTTCCGAGCACACGATATTTGTATTTACTTTATTTTGTTCTTATAAGGTATCTACATGTAAATAAAATTTTAAAATGAATGCTTCGTAGCGAACACATGCGAGTTTATATTTTTCAAACAATCTTTGCCAATTACTACACTGCATGTACACGCTAGTTGTTTGTGCGGTGTAGAGCAACAATGTATTTCAACATCGAGGTGCCCGCGGCTCTCTGTGGCCACGTGTATGGACTACAACACTTAAAGACACAAAGCGGCAGAGACGGATGAAACTGTTTGCTATATTACAAAGACTTGAATTATAGTACATGTATATTTGAAGGAATTTTTATTTATGTTAATGTTTATTTAATTCTATAAATAATAAATGGACATTCACAAGAGTGGTGGTAAAAATAATATGTGCTTAGCATGCGTAGTAATTACAATTATTTACCGAAGCCCCCATTCAATTACAATTGCAGATGAATTAAAATACAACAACACGGGATAGAGCAATACTTTTTTTAAATGTATTGTTGCGTGAACAGACAAAAACAGCGATTAAAATTCAAAATGATTTTTATGCACCAGTGTTTGGAATTAAGATTATAAAAGATCGGTAAAGTAATCTTACTGATTCGATATAATTAAAAACATAACTTTCCATTAATTAATAGCTCTTTGTACAAAATTGACATTATACGCGATCACAAATACTAGCTTTGTTTATGGCCACAGGTGGCTAGTACACTGGTGACCTCGATCAACAGCGTGGGATTCGCGCGTTGGGTTACATAACTAAACATCGAGCTGAACATGGAGAACGTAATATGCATACAGATATTGATCGTGAATTATTCAATGCATACAGTTTAAAATCACTTACAAAGTTTGTTGTAATAATAAACGTAGAAAGATAGATTTAATATTCTCCGCTTTTGAACACTATTAACCTAATTTAAAAAAGAAGAAAAGAAAGGCTAGTTGTAATAAATAATTTAATAGTGAACCATAAACCACGTTTTAAACCTTATTAAAAAGAAAATTAACATTAAATATCGCAGGGTATATTATTGATAGCAAGTCTGTTTAAGTTATACACATGAAGAGGTCTGATTTCCTTGCCGAATGAAAAACGTTACCTGTTTACCTGGCCTGCTTTCTAATACGTATTACGCAATACCCATGGTATACTCGAACAAAACAACATTTTCATTAGATCAAAAAGGTGTAAAAGAACAATTTTGTTCCCAAGATCCAGATCGAAATATTTACCGTTTTTGAGTTATAAAGCAAAAACTTTTAAGGGCCCAAGATCCCTAATCATAGGGGCCAGCCCCTTTTAAATAGTATAATATGAAAGCCCTTGCAATTATGCACAACTTTTGTTCTACATGTCTTAACAAAATATTTCTAGTTTTCAAGATATAAAGGAAAATATGTCAAATTTTTTGCTGTTTTCCGCGTTCTAACTTTTGACCCCTCTCTAGCGCCATTTTTAATGCAAAAATCAAAAAACAAAAACCGATGTGCACAACTTCAATGCTTCCTCTTTTCAATTTCAAAGGGTTTTGTGCTCCAATTATAACCATTTCTGAGCCTTTGTCTGGAAATGGGAGGCATGCAAAATTCAATCAAAGGGGAATAACTCGTGAACAGAAGGTAATTTCCGAATTGTATTACGGTATTCTGACAGTGTTTTGTAAAGTCTAAAAGCTCTGAAAATTTGAACAAAATCTGTTTAAAAATGAGGAAGATATGAAGCGTCAAAGTTGGCGTCTAGGAAAAAAAAAAAAAGAATAATCTTAATCATCACAATCAGTAGAAGGTCTTCCGTTGGAAACGGAAGACCTTAATAATCTTAACCATCAGAATCAGTAGAAGGTCTTCCGCCTGGAGCGGAAGACCTTAATAAGACACCTGCATGGCGCAGTGGTTAGATCGTTTGCTCTAGAGTCACAGAGTCCTTTCGTCCCGGGTTAGAATTCCATTGTGTTACGTGGAGGCAGGTCCCTCATCCCCCAGATGCGGTGTATACATTGTATAAGCTGAAGTCCTGTGTCGAAGTAGGTACTGGCACAAAAAAAGTGCATCTCAATATGAGTGAAATATTTTCAAAGGGATTTTAAACAACCAACCCAACAAACAAACAAATAGGAGGCCAAATTCAGCCGTTACTCTACCTTGTCATTTGCCAATAAGATTGACAGGTGACGTGACTAATGTTCTGCGAAAATTGAATCTTAAAGTAATACGGTCCATTCATAGTCGACAAAATAATTCATTTTAAGATGTAATTTACGCATATTTGAAGAAAAAAACTTTTCCTAGGACAATTACTTTTAATTTTGACATGTAAATGCATACTTATGAACAAAGTGTGTTTAAGAATATCTGGCTAATCAGAATACCTTGAGTGATAAGTAGGAACATTTCAAGCATTCATTGTAGGTGAAGAATGAGTTGATTTAACGCCCTATTTTGGATCTTTTTACAAGTTCTCTACCAAGCTGTAAATGAAGTGAATCCGAAACATTTTACAATTAATAGCAAGATCTACATATGCATGATTATATTAGGTAAAACATTTGCTCAAAAGCAATGCCTTGGTGCCATGAAAGAAAACTGAAGCAACGATACATGTCTCTGTCCGGAATTTGATATGTACCCGGAATGGTTTTTAGGTCACATAATCAATATTAATATAGGAGGCAGAGCTATCGATCGACATCAATGTCGACATCTCTTACATGTATCTTCTCTCTCTAGAAATTTGAATATTATGTTTGCTATATTAGAGCGATGTCAATATAAATTTATAAGATTTTTCTGGTAAATGGTATAAGGACATGCAAATATATATAATATTTTATCTGCTATAAAATTCTGCAAGTGGCAACCACTCAAAGACACTCTAAGATGTGATTTAGATTGATGTCACGTTTAAGATGACAATGTACTTGTACTCACAAGTACTCTCTCAGCTGAACACCACATTATGAATTGCAATATTCAACAGATCAATCGAGGTCAAATCAAAGTTAACACAGTCATTACAATGGAAGCAACAAGTTTGTTTTGACAGGTTTTTTTGTAAAATTAAGTATGAGCGCACGTGTGTCATCCCATCTCCTTTTAATATGACATTAGTTTGTTACAATATACATGCAGTTACAGTTTTCTTAAGATCAACCAACAAACATGTGCTATGTATTCAGACAACAAATAAGCATGACTCTGATTATCTATTTATATTCAAGAAATCCTCAGACCCCATGCTTTCAACTGTTCAATATTTATTTGGTTTTCCTCAAAAAGAGTGCTTATATAGACATTTGTGGCAAGAATACACAGTTCTTTAGGACTCTTAAGTCCACCCCCTTCTTTGCTAAACTACCTCGCTTTGTTCTGCTTTTAGCCCATCACCGGTATATGGTTACATTTCTTTATGAGAGAAAAACTCGAACGGAACATAAAACAGTATACAATCAATCAATCAGTCTAACCAGTGTTGATACATTGATTGTATACTGTTTATAGTTAGGGTTTTCGACGCACAATAATTTTATACAGTATACATGTATTTGGATCTGTCCTCCAGTTGACCATGGATAACTTATGATTTCAGGTGATATTCATCTTAATAACCGTCTGGCGATTGAAGATGGTAGTATGTCAAGCTATTAAGCTCCGTTCACTCTTCCTTCAATGTGGCTGGGAAATCCTTCAGGTACAAACAGTCAACGGTCATTTGTAAGGAATAAAAAAAAATTAATTCTGTGACATTCCTGTTAAAAGATAAAAATACTAATGGGTTTGATTTTTAAAAGTTATGGACCTGTCATTGTTTATTTTGCAGGGTATCCTTTGTATGGTGTCTGTGGCTTACATAGGATGTAATGTTTACAGATTCTTTCTCGTGTCAGAAGTTGTAGAGTTACAACAGAGAACTTATAATGAAGAGTTTGTAGATGTTTCCTTCATCACGTTCTGGGACGAGGTACACTTTAATTCTTTTTCAATTCAGTATCACACAAATTTAAAAAAAAACTTAAAATTCCAGATTACTATCTTTCTCAAAGTAAAATTTAATTACTTTCAAACTATATCATGTTCTATCAACTTATAAAACTGAATTATTATAATTTATTCATATTTTATATGTTTTGAGGTACACGAAATTACGTTATATAGAATGTTAAGTCATTTTCACCTTCAATTTACACACTGTATAGTTTTCACTCGGTGTTCTCTAGTTACATTATTTCCATTATCCATATTATTATTTTTTTCCAGATGCTGCGCTGTATGGTGGGTTTCATCATGTTTATCGTCATTTTACAATCCCTGCGTCTTCTCCGCTACGAACGGATGTTCCTCCTGTTTGGTAAAATCTACAGTCGGGCTCACAAAGAGCTCAAACTCCTAGCGGTAATAGCATTATTATAATCTACAGCCGGGCTCACATAGAGCTCAAACTCCTAGCGGTAATAGCATTATTATAATCTACAGCCGGGCTCACAAAGAGCTCAAACTCCTAGCGGTGATAGCATTATTATAATCTACAGTCGGGCCCACAAGGAGCTCAAACTCTTAGCGGTAATAGCATTATTATAATCTACAGCCGGGCTCACAAAGAGCTCAAACTCTTAGCGGTAATAGCATTATTATAATCTACAGCCGGGCTCACATAGAGCTCAAACTCCTAGCGGTGATAGCATTATTATAATCTACAGTCGGGCCCACAAGGAGCTCAAACTCTTAGCGGTAATAGCATTATTATAATCTACAGTCGGGCTCACAAGGAGCTCAAACTCTTAGCGGTAATAGCATTATTATAATCTACAGCCGGGCTCACAAAGAGCTCGAACTCCTAGCGGTGATAGCAAAATTATAATCTATAGTCGGGCTCACAAAGAGCTCAAACTTCTAGCGGTAATAGCATTTATTTATTATAATCTACAGCCGCGGGCTCACAAAGAGCTCAAACTCCTAGTGGTGATAGCAAAATTATAATCTATAGTCCGGCTCACAAAGAGCTCAAACTTCTAGCGGTAATAGCATAATTATGATAAACTTGACAGATATTTTATTTAGGCTGTAATAGTACATTAATCAAGGAAATATATATAGCTATGTATTTAGCTCCCCACCGCAGCCAAAGGCTTGAGCAAGACTTTCTATTTGAAAGTGTCCATTTGTCTCAACATCCCTCAACATTTCACAATTTTCAGAACTTGAAAAAAAGTTTAAACAGAAATTTATCCACCTTCAAAAGAATAAGAAGGCTACATTTTGTACACATGATAGCAAGCTTCTTATACTGTAAATTAGAATTGTTTAATTCATGGACTTTGATTTGGAGATGGTACTAATAGATTACATTTATTCACAAGTCAGGGAGAGAATGTTGAATTATAGGAGTATTGTGACCCGTATCATCTTGTTTTCATGTGATTTTATTATTTTTCTTTAAGGTTCTGCTGATAATCTTATTACTGGCATTCGCTTCCCTTGGCCATGCCTTATTTCGGGCCTTCTTTCTTGGTTTCATGGACTTCTGGAGCAGCATTTTCACTGTTTCTGCCATATTTTCTGGGCGATATATCGACTTGACGTCAGAACCCTCGCTAATTCATGCTTCCCGGATTTTCCTCTTATTCAGCACAGTCTTAAGCCTTGGTCTAGGAACAGCATATGTGAGTATCTACCTTTGTAAACCAGATGTTTTTTGTTCACTCTTTCATGACGGTCTCCACCTACTTTGTACAGAGTTAAATGAAGATTAAATGATTATTATTTCAATAATACATTTGACTGAAATTATCAATGTCTTAATGTTTTTCATTCCTTATAAGACTTACCTACTTTATGTATATTACAGGTTGTTGTTTTTCTTACGTACCGCTTTCATGTTAACAAAAGACGACAACATAAAATGTCGGCTCTTTGCTGCCCAGAAACCTTCGCATATTATTGGCGCATGCTCCGTCAGTTGTCAGGATGGTCGACCTCTGATGTAAACAGTGAACCAGAAATAGAACCTGATAATACTCTTCCACCTGTAAGAAAGCTTTATCTTTAAATGATAACCTCTGATTAACTGATATCCATTTATTATAATAATCAAAACAATCACGACTAATTAACATTAGTTTCATTAGACAGATCAGATTTATTGGTCCAGAAAGTTCATTGATAGAAAAATATAGTTAAGTTCTTGTAGTTTTTGGCGCTAATTAAAAAAAAGTTAAACACAGTTAAAAATTTAAAGACTCATCAATAGAAGCAATTACTTGCTGAAATACTGATAATAAATATTCATTTTTAGTCAAAGGGTTTTCAATTATGTTGCTTAGAGTCAAGACAATTTATGTTAATTCACACCTGGTTAAATTTCAATCTCTCTCTCTCCAGGAATTCACAATGGCTGAGGTAGAATACCAAGTAGATGAACTCTTCTTCAGGATCTCTGGTTTATCTGGATCACACGGTCTACCAGAGAAGCCCAACAACTATTTCACAGACTCGGATGGAACTTATACAGCAGGGGATGATGGGATTTCAAGCGGCGGATCTGAGGTTTCTATTTTTTTCCAAAATTATCTTAAACGTTATTTCAGTGGCAGATCTGAAGTTTTTGTATTTTCAGAGGTATATAGAACGTTAATGTTTATCATAGTTAATTATGACTGAAAAAGAAATAAGGATTTTTTGTGATAGGTACCTGATGAGGAGAGACTGGAACATCGCGTCCATCAAATCGAAGACAACCTTTGCTCAGCAGAACCATACCTAGCCCAGCTACTCAAGATAGATAACATTGGTATACAGGACCTTTCTAAGGATCAAGAGAATCAAATCAGGTAGTTAATGTTTGCTAAGATAACTTTGAATCACAGATCATTCTTCAGAAACAAGATGGGATCATAAATTGTGTGATTTTTCTCTGAATAAACTTAAACATTTAACCTCTTTAAGACACTATAGAGAGGCAGGTAATTGATTGTTTGTGTTACAACGTGAAATGTAACAACAACGCAAAATGTAATAACAGTGCAAAATGTAATACAAAATGTAATTCAATGCAAATGTCATAAACTAGGATTATTACATTTTGCGTCGAGATCAACGCAAAATGTAATAAAACGATTTTTGTATCGTTACATTTTGCATTATTACATTTTGCGTTGATCTCAACACAAAATGTAATTATGCACTTTGGGTTGTTAAATTTTGCGTTACTTAATTTTTGCATTGAGGACAACGCAAAATGTAATAAAACAAAATGAAATAAAACAAAATATAATTATTAGGTCACCTGAGCCGAAGGCTCAAGTGAGCTTTTCTGATCACTTTTTGTCCGGCGTCCGTCTGTCTGTCCGTCTGTCTGTCTGTCTGTAAACTTTTAACATTTTCGACTTCTTCTCAAGAACCACAAGGCCAATTTCAATCAAACTTGCCACAAAGTATCCTTGGGTGAAGGGGATTCAAGTTTGTCCAAATGAAGGGCTATGCCCTATTTCAAGGGGAGATAATAAAGAATTAATTAAAAAATTAATAGCATCTTTTAAAAATCTTCTTCTCAAGAACCACAGGGCCAGGAAAGATGAAACTCATGTGGAGGCATCCTCAGGTAGTGTAGATTCAAGTTTGTTCAAATCATGACCCCGGGGGTAGGGCGGGGCCACAATGGAGGATCAAAGTTTCACATAGAAATATATAGGAAAAACCTTTCAAGATCTTCTTCTCAAGAACAGCAAAGCCATGATGAGTCATATTTATATGGAAGCATCCTCAGGTAGTGTAGATTCAGGTTTGTCTAAATCAAGTCCCCCAGGGTAGGGCGGGGCCACAATGGAGGATCAAAGTTTTACATAGAAATATATAGGAAAAACCTTTAAAAATCTTCTCAAGAACAGCAAAGCTATGATGAGTCATATTTATATGGAAGCATCCTCAGGTAATGTAGATTCAAGTTTGTTCAAATCATGACCCCCGGGGGTAGGGCGGGGCCACAATGGAGGATCAAAGTTTTACATAGAAATATGTAGGAAAAACCTTTCAAAATCTTCTTCTCAAGAACAGCAAAGCCATGATGAGTCATATTTATATGGAAGCATCCTCAGGTAGTGTAGATTCAGGTTTGTCCAAATCAAGTCCCCCGGGGTAGGGCGGGGCCACAATGGAGGATCAAAGTTTTACATAGAAATATATAGGAAAAACCTTTAAAAACCTTCTCAAGAACAGCAAAGCCATGATGAGTCATATTTATATGGAAGCATCCTCAGGTAATGTAGATTCAAGTTTGTTCAAATCATGACCACTGGGGGTAGGGCGGGGCCACAATGGAGGATCAAAGTCTTAAATATAAATATATAGGAAAATGTCTTCTGAAGAAGAACTGATTTTATAAATCAGTCTGTATTATATATTCATCACTGACATTCTTAATAACCAAAGATTAACCATGGGTCCATTAAAAGCTCTTGATATGCATGAACGACTTGCATGTGTACATTGGTGAGCAAATACGTTCTATTTCCACTATGGAAGAGTTATACTTCTTAGTGAGCTCTTTTGTGAAAAAGTCGGTAAATGTACAAATCTCGCGGGATTTCAGGGACAAACGTAACGTAAACATGTAAACAGTATGTTGAATGTCGATGAACAAATCCTAAGAAAATGCAAATGAAATATTTTATTGTTGTGGACTTTATATACATCAAGAGTAGGAATGACAACGATATCAATTTATATCTATATTGTTGATCGTATGTATCTATTTATCGTATGCTACATCTAAATACAATATACATACCTCGGAAAAGTCGTATTTTTTATTAATGGATGATAAATTTAGGGTTCTCGCTCTCTTACATATGTCTTTTAGTTCTTCCATTCTTTAATTGGAATGACAAATACATTTAACATTAAAAATCGGATTGAGATTGGCATGTTTTGTATTATCCGCAACGCCATGCTGTCCCTGTCAGACGACCAAACACGCCTCTAATTTTGAAGAGTTCACTAATGGAAATATAACGTATTAGGAGTGTATGTGTGTGTGTCTGGCGAGGAGAAGTGGGGTTGGAGGTTACTTTGTATTTGGTCATTGTATTTTTATGTGCATGCAAAAACTGTCCATTTTATTATTGGAGAGAGAGAGAGAATTTCATTTTTTCTGGTCGGCAATACATGTGATATGTAAAACAGTATCTTAATTGTCAAGAAACCCCCTCCCCGCTATATTTACACCTGCCAGTAAAAATAGATTTATTTTCTAAATTTTTTGCAGGTGCATATCAAAATGAAAAGCCATCTGATAAACTGATCAACAAAATCCCCCCAACACACACACACATATACACATGTGCACACGCATGTTTCTATTTTGCAATACCTATGATTTGAATATCAACTGATTTTAAATGGCTAATGAAATCAAATATGATGAAATCAGATCGAAAGTAAGAATAAGCATATATTTATTTTTCCTTTTGTTTTATTACTGACCAAAAAGTGTTTTATTACATTTTGCGTTCTTGCATTTTGCTGAATCTCAACGCAAAATGTAACAACCTAAATGTTATAATCCAAAAATCGTGTTATTACATTTTGCGTTGATCTCGACGCAAAATGTAATATCGCAAAATGTAATAATCTTAAAAAGTCTGTTTTTACATTCTTTTTATTACATTCTGCATTGATATCTATGCAAAATGTAATAATGCCAAATGCAATAATCTCAGTTTATTACATTTTGTGTTATTACATTTCGCGTTGTAACATGTTTGCAGAAAAAAACTGTGAATTGTATTCTCACCTAAAAAAAAATTGGATTATTCTCTGCTCATCTATATTACACTGAATATCTTTTCACTTAATATTTCTGCATTTTGTATGTATATTTAATACAGTTTTAAATATAAATAAAGGTCACATTTGGAGCTAGAAATATTCCGACAACTTCAGAATCAGAGACAAGATCCAATCGAGGAAGGCCTGAAATCCGGGACTCAAGTTTGTGATACTGCTAAAGCAAAGCCTCACAATGCAGACATGGGTAAGGATACTATAATAACATTTAGATAGATCAAAAATAAGTAAATCTCTAAACTTCACAATGTAGACATGTAGATAGATCAAAAATAAGTAAATCTCTAAACTTCACAATGCAGATATGTAGATAGATCAAAAATAAGTAAATCTCTGAACTTCACAATGTAGACATGTAGATAGATCAAAAATAAGTAAATCTCTAAACTTCACAATGTAGACATGTAGATAGATCAAAAATAAGTAAATCTCTGAACTTCACAATGTAGACATGTAGATAGATCAAAAATGAGTAAATCTCTAAACTTCACAATGTAGACATGTAGATAGATCAAAAATAAGTAAATCTCTGAACTTCACAATGTAGACATGTAGATAGATCAAAAATAAGTAAATCTCTAAACTTCACAATGTAGACATGTAGATAGATCAAAAATGAGTAAATCTCTAAACTTCACAATGTAGACATGTAGATAGATCAAAAATAAAGTAAATCTCTAAACTTCACAATGTAGACATGTAGATAGATCAAAAATAAGTAAATCTCTAAACTTCACAATGTAGACATGTAGATAGATCAAAAATAAGTAAATTTCTGAACTTCACAATGTAGACATGTAGATAGATCAAAAATAAGTAAATCTCTAAACTTCACAATGTAGACATGGGTAAATCTCTAAACTTCACAATGTAGACATGGGGGAGGATAACATAATAACATGTAGATAGATCAAAAATAAAGTAAATCTCTAAACTTCACAATGTAGACATGTAGATAGATCAAAAATAAGTAAATCTCTAAACTTCACAATGTAGACATGGGTAAATCTCTAAACTTCACAATGTAGACATGGGGGAGGATAACACAATAACATGTAGATAGATCAAAAATAAAGTAAATTTCTAAACTTCACAATGTAGACATGTAGATAGATCAAAAATGAGTAAATCTCTAAACTTCACAATGTAGACATGTAGATAGATCAAAAATAAGTAAATCTCTAAACTTGACAATGTAGACATGTAGATTGATCAAAAATGAGTAAATCTCTAAACTTCACAATGTAGACATGTAGATAGATCAAAAATAAGTAAATCTCTGAACTTCACAACGTAGACATGTAGATAGATCAAAAATAAGTAAATCTCTGAACTTCACAATGTAGACATGTAGATAGATCAAAAATAAGTAAATCTCTAAACTTCACAATGTAGACATGGGTAAGGATACTATAATAACATGTAGATAGATCAAAAATAAGTAAATCTCTAAACTTCAAAGTATTTTGCTTATTCAAAAGTCTTACATTTTAGGTTTCTTAAAAATTAGCTATAATGTAGAATTACTGTTATTTAGTCCTAGAAATAAGATGTATGTATAATATACTATTGTTCCTTACAGATGTAAATCAAATGAACCTCAAACCAAATGCACATTTTGAAGGCAGTGATGCGGAACGTCGGTCTGCGGAGGTTAGTTCCTCCAATCCTGATTCCCCCGAGTCCACGAAGAACCCCACGACAAAGAAAACAAAACAACGAGACACATCTCCAGAGAATATACAGAACAAGACAAAACCACAGGGAGCAAAGGCAACAAAAAAACCAGAGTTACCGACAAAACCAACATTTATAATGCATGGTCCAGTACGAGGGGCGTTGTCCAATGATGTCCCCAAACCATCGTTGATCAGCAGTCCCACTCTACGACAACTCAAATCAGATAAAATTGGTCTCCGCGGGGAGCGGGGTGGCATAAGAGGTGAAAGTAACAGCGGAAGTAGTATTACGGAGTCTAGTTCTGGGTCAGAACAGGACGCTATACATGGACATATGCCCGCCATTGGAAAACGGAACTTACGTAAGACAAAGTCACGTGGTAAGGGGAAGGGACCCGTTAATCTGTCGTCAGTTTTGTTAGATGAAATAGAAGGTGAACATCTTCAGACAGACAACAGTGGTAATACAGAGGATCATTTCATTATACTCGAGCATGATGTATTGGAAGACGTGGATGATGGTGTTGATTTAGAATCATAAACATGTTCTGTAATTGAAAGTTGAGCCAAAGGCTGAAATTTTTGGATTGAAATATCTACTTTATCTATTTATAACCATCTGTCAGATCGTTGTGTGTCTGCAAATTTTTGTTTTTTCTTTTTCATTTTTTTTTTAAGTTTTCCATAACTACCGATCTGATGTCAACAATCTTGTTACAAAACATTGATTTCAAAATGAATTAAATTCAGTTGACCTAGAAATGTAAGTTTATGTTGCGAAATATTTACGTTCTGTGATATGTTGTGTTGGCATATGAGTATTATACAATTTTGTAGCATTTTTTTTTCATATCAACAATGATAACTGCTCATATATAATTATATATATTAAATAAAAATGATGAACAAGTATCTTTCTTGTTGATTTCAATAACGAAGTCACTTTATATATAATTTATCATATTTGAAAGAAAATTTTTTGTCCACCGCTTTCACTGAAATTTGGGTCTGTCTGTCCATCTATCTGTACATTTGTAGATTCATAATCATCCCTGACACTATGTGTGTGATCGTTATGTGTGGAGAAATTAAAGTGTTTACAAGTTTAGCAAACATAAGTTACGAAAGCCAAAAAGGAAAAAAAATTAAAAGTGAAGGGGGGGGGGGGGTGCATACCGATGCATGCCATTCAGTACCGGATCCACCTTGGTTTTTATACATTTTTTTTTCTAACATGAAGGTAAATTATATGCCCCCTTTCTTTCAACTGTTCATTTCAGTTCAGAGTCAGGAATACTGTATATGCATATGACGACCAGCTGATGACATTATCAGAATATAATCCCCCGAACCATTTTTGCTTCAATTACATTCCCACATGTTTCCTATGTATCAAGATGTTTTACACGGTATTCCATGTATTCCTAGCTTAAATTAAAAAAAAGTGTTCGAAAGAGCTAAAAACAGGAAAAAAACCTGAATGCAATCAAATCTAAATTGAAATTTGGGAAACACATTATATACATGTACCACGTTTCATAATTAAAATTATTTAAATAGATACATGTACCTGCTGCTGCACCTCTACCTCACTCGGCATTTCAGTTGTGACTGCTAAAAAAGGGGTACGAAATCAACTTTCTGCAAAATCATCTGATTGGCTGACAGATATGTACCCATATACACATTTAAATTAGTGAGGTCATAAGAAAAGTCATGTCACAAGTCATTTAGAATACTCGTTTCCTACTGTATCAGAGATACAGGATGGGGCGCGCCTCGAACTATCGCTCTCGCCTTAAGCCCCGCCCTGTATCTCCAATACAGTAGGAAACCCGTACTCTAAACATTACTCAAAGATTAGATAAATGCTATAATGATATCTAAAATAATGAGATATGTCTATGACATATGTGAATATATAGAGTGTAATTAAAGAGCTCATGAGCTCACAAAGCAGGTAAGATTCAAGTCCTTAACCACACAAAAAAGTCATTCTAACTCATCCCCTTCCTCTTTTATAAATCAGAGTTTATATTATTTCACATTAAAACTAAATTAAATCTAATTTTTCTTCTGCATCTTCCGTAAAATAAATGGAACAAACATATCAAAAGAGTTTTTTTCTACCATGAATTACCAAATGGATTGGGAATGGTACTGATACCAATTCAATGTTGGAAAAAAAGCATCAAATTTATTTACCTTTAAGTTTTGGATGAAATGTAACTAGACAATGAGGTTATTCCACACAAAAAACTATGGAATCTGTAGAATCTATATGAAAGGAAGTAAGATTGAAAATATGTAGGTACATGTAGTCTGGGAGGGCAAAAGGTTTGTATTGAGTTCTATGGGAAAATAAGTACCCTTTTCCCTATAGAGACCCTAAACTTTTACAATGTTTAGTGAATTGAAAGTCATGAAAAGTTGAAATATGATATTCTAAGATTAATTTGTTGCAGTGAAATTTAAAAAAGCTTTCAACCATAATTTTATTTTCTTAAAGGTGCGTAGACACAGATTTGAACTTAATATTTTCTCAAATTTTCTGTATAATATCACGACTTACATATTGCAATAGCATTTCACACGAAAATATAATTAAAAACTTATTTTATCTGGAAATTATTGGAACTACGAATTCCGGGACGCGTTTGATCAACATAACTTTGCACTTAGACAAATTTTAACTTTATCCTTAATATTTAAGAAAAGAAGCAATTTTGTTATGCATTAATGAAAAATATTACATCTATAATCCAGAAAATTCAGAGTAGAAATGTTCGAAAGCAAAACCAGTATTGTCAGTCCGTGCTCTGGTGTGTACAGAGTTTAACAAATTGAACACACCCGTGGAACGTAAACTGTTTCTGTAAACACGGCATGAGCTCTGTTATTGTTAATGTTTAGGATTCACCTGGTGTGTTCAATTGTTAAACTCTGCACAAACCACTGAGCACGGACTTGCAATATGAGTGGGTTTTGCTTTCGAACATTTCTACTCTGAATTTTCTGGGTTATATAGTTGTAATATTTTTCATTAATACACAATAAAATTGCAACTTTTCTTTAGAATCAAGAATGAAATTAAAATATGTGAAAGCGCAAGGATGTGTCAATCCAACGCGTCCAGAAATTTGAAGTTTTAATAACTTCAATAACTTCAAGATGAAATAAGATTTTTATTATATTTTAGTATGAAATGCTATAGCAATATATAAGTCATGAAATTATACAGAAAATTTGAGAAAATATTAGCTTCAAATCTGTGTCCAAGCACCTTTAAGGAAAAGAAACCTTTTCTTTCAATGGTAAGTGCAACAAACAAAAAGACACATGCAAGGAGATCATTCCTGTCTTGATTTTAAAAATGGAAATATATGAAATTCATCAACAACTACTATAAAATGTTCCGATTGATGAAGCTTGCTTACTCTTCTTTATAAGAAGTTTTTTTTTATCATGTAGAAATTGTCAGCCCCTACCTTCCAGTTCGTAGAAGAGGGTTAAGGGTTCAACGAAGTAGAATCTTCAGATAAACTTCAGTCTTGAGTTAAGGTCATTATACATATAGGACAAAGGCAATAGGTTATATATGGATTCAGACTTTAGAGTTATGTTGTCCATGGCCAAAAGATGTGGTCCAATCTGGACCAGGTTATATGATCACGGTCACAGGGCAATTGGAAACTGAAATCATATCTGACTGCAAGTCTGCACCCTTAATTTGAATGAATGTATGTATATAGGTATAAGAAACGTTGTCCTACACCCAGGATCTTCACATGTAACTTATAGGTCAGTGTCCAATGAAATGTTATTATTAAATGCCTTGGAATTTCAATTCAATTCACTTTATTGACAATTACCATGTCTGCATACAGTCATGACATAAAAACGAATTAACAAGAATAATACATACATATACAAAGTGACAAATGTGAGTTGAACAAAATAATGTAGAGTATATTCACATATTTCTAAGTATTCATTGCTGACTTTCTTTTCTGGTGTCAAAGCACTTTTTCAAAAAAACAACATATCCTTCTAGTAGTTGTAATATTTGTAGAATTGACAATTTTTCTAATGGGATTATCACTAGTATATGTGTTTACATTAAATATATCAGTATAATTGCATCTAAATTAATTGGTCATACTTTGAACAGTATAGAACAAAATGTTTTTCATCTTCAATAAATAATTTACATGAATAGCATAAACGTTTTTCTCTAGGAATAGGGGGTTTACAGTATCTGCTCGTTTCAATATACAATGGATGGGCACTGATCCTTAATTTTCTTAATACAGATCTAAAACTTTTCTTTAAAGGCAGCTTTAAATAACTTTGCAATTTGTATTCATTTTGAATTACAATTTTACTATAAAAAGCTAACTTTCCAGAGTTTGATTTGCTTATATTTTTCAGTTGTTCATGTATCTTGTTTTGGTAATGCTCTTGTAATTTGTTTTTCAATGTTGTGTGAGAAATATCCAAAGAAGTGATCGATATTTAATTTTTGTAGTAATGAAGACAGTTTTCTTTGCCAAGATATTCTAGATACAAGTTTTTTGTCTTCTTTAAATGCAGAAATCACTAAATAATTATTATAATCATGTTTGTTTTCCATTTCCTTAAGTCTTAAGTTTGAACAATTTCAAATTACCTGTCTCCTCCATACACATGATCCATGGCATATTGTGCAATCAAATTTTTTTTGCTTTGTAACCTTGAATAGAATAAAATTCAAGAGGCCCATGGGCCACATCACTCACCTGAGCACATTGGCTAGGAAAAAAAGTAAAAATCAGTTCAGTATTGAAAAGTTTACGGGGGGGGGGGGGGGGGTTGAATTTTAAACTACCTGATGATGCTTTCATATCAATATAACAAATGGCTTTGCTGTTCTTCAGCAGAAGATTTTTTCCCATATATACATTTGTAAAAATTTGTTCCCCCATTGTGGCCCCACCCTACCCCCAGGGGCCCTCATTTGAACAAATTCATTCTACACTACCCAAGGATGCCTCCATATCAATTGACTAATCATGGCTTTTCTGTTCTTGAATAAAAGATTTTTTTCCTATATAATCCTCTGTAAACTTTGGTCACCCATAGAAGCCCCACCCTACCTCCGGGGGTTATGATTTGAACAAACTTGAATCTACACTACCTGAGGATGCTTCCATATAAATATGACCAATCATGGCTTTGCTGTTATTAAGATGAATATTGTTAAAGATATTTTCCTATATATTTCTATGTAAAACTTTGATCCCCACTGTGGCCCCACCCTATCCTGAGAAGGGGGGGGGGGGAGGGGCATGATTTGAACAAACTTGAATCGACACTACCTGAGGATGCTTCCATATAAATATGACCAATCATGGGTTTGCTGTTCTTAAGAAGATTTTTGAAGATATTTTCCTATATATTTCTATGTAAAACTTTGATCCCCCATTGTGGCCCCACCCTACCCCTGGGGGGTCATGGTTTGAACAAACTTGAATCCACACTATCTGAGGATGCTTCCATATAAATATGACTAATCATGGCTTTGCTGTTCTTAAGAAGAAGATTTTTAAAGATATTTTCCTATACTTCTATGTAAAACTTTGAACCCCCATTGTGGTCCCACCCTACCCCCGGGGGGTCATGATTTGAACAAACTTGAATCTACACTACCTGAGGATGCTTTCAAATAAATATGACCAATCATGACCTTGCTGTTCTTAAGAAGAAGATTTTTAAAGATATTTTCCTATATATTTCTATGTAAACTTTGATCCCCCATTGCAGCCCCACCCTACCCCCAGGAGTCATGATTTGAACAAAGTTGAATCTATACTACCTGAGGATGTTTCCATATGTTTCATCTTTCCTGGCCCAGTGGTTCTTGAGAAGAAGATTTTTAAATGATGCAATTATTTTTTCACTAACTCCTAATTATCTCCCCTTGAAAGAGGGCGTGGCCCTTCATTTGAACAATTTTGAATCCACTTCACCCAAGGATGCTTTGTAGCAAGTTTGGTTGAATTTGGCCAAGTGGTTCTTGAGAAGAAGTCAAAAATGTGAAAAGTTTGCAGACAGACAGACAGGCAGATGGACGCCAGACAAAATGTGATGAGGAAAGCTCACTTGACCCTTCAGCTCAGGTGAGCTAAAAACTGTTTGATATGGAGATACTATTGACTGGACATTGATCTTCACGCATGCTCATCTTAACATGCTTCAGAAATTCATTTCAATATTTATTATTCTATCTAATTCTTACATTAAAGCTAAATAGCTATCACCAGCACTTTTTCAGGATTTAAAAATACATTCAATATCAGAACAGTCACAATTTTATAATGTTTTCATGACTGTGAAAAATAATTATCACTCATCTTCTTCCTATTTGTCTCTGACACCGTTTCCTGTTAAAAAACAAAATAAAAACTTGACATCTTTGTATATATGCACAGTACTTCGTTACCATTTCATTATATGATCTCAATCAAATATATGTACTTTCTAAAAATTTACATAAATAAGCTCTTTTAATGTTTTAATTCAAGCTGGTTACATTACATGTATGTATACAAAGGAAAATTAATAGTCAGTTAATTAATTATCATTACACTAAAGAAAAAAGAATACTTGTTATTCTAGGCATAGACTTAATAATGAGTCACCTCTTCTTTTATTTTTTTGTATCTCATCTGTTTTTTTTGTTTTTTTTGTTTTTTTTTTTGTTACTAACCAGTAACTAAATGGGTACAGGATGGGTCAAAATCTTGTCCATCCAACATTTTGCCACCAAGGCTCTCTACTAAAACTCTGTAGTCATCTCTTTCCTTCAAAGAGTGAAAATGCAATATAAACACCTGTAAGTTTTAACATTCCTAACAAATTTGCAACTTGTCAACCTGCACTTTTTTCAAAAATAGTAAACAAATAGAAACATACTTCTTCAGATAAGCATGACAACATGAAGATGGGTGGGGTCGATTTTGCCTCTCCAATGCCTTCTCCTCCTCTAAATTCACAGGAGAGGGGACAGTCTGGTCAGATTGTTTACGGAAAGCTGCATATAAGAAAAGAGAACCTGACTCCCAAAAGATATTCACTCTGATCATCTATACTACGGATTCCAATAACACATCATAGAAGTAAGACTGTGCATTTATCACAACACTGGCCAGGGATTAAGTTGTAATATTTTGTTCATACACAAAGACGTATTTCAGGTTTTGGTCACTGAATGTTATTTCTCTTACTAATATAAAAAGTTTTTTAAATCACAATATAATTATCTGCACGGTAAATTATGCCTTTTGTGTATATTTTGTAATAATTGATGCAAAGTTTGAACCTACTCTATTTTTTCAAACTCTTCTGATGCAGTTTTATCCCCCCCCCCCCCCATCATACACTTCTTGTTAATGTTAAATTTTATTTAGCAGTGCCTACAATAATTTTCCTCTGTGAAATACATTTTAGATGTATGCCCTTGCTATAGCTGACTTACAAGTACCCTCTGTGAATCTCTGATTGTTTATTTGATTATGCAAAATTAATTACTGTAAAACAACTTTTATTCGCGTGCGAGAAATATTCGTGAGTTTCGCGACCTTCTCTAACTCGCGAATATTAATCGCCGCGAACCATTTATTTTGCTTTGTATTTGTTGAGAATGTTTCCTCAGTCGCAAAAATTAATCATCGCAGATTGATTTCAAACTGACGAATCGCGAATAAAAGTTGACGCGAATAATAGATGGTTTACAGTATTCATACCAACAGCGGGTTCCCGGGCTGGGAAGAGTCTTCTTACTGGCTCATTCTACAAAACAAAACATGAAAACTCAGATAATATTCTGAACTAAAAAAAAATCAGAGATTATTTAATTAATTTGCATTTAAAGATCAGTCTTTAACATTGGTATTACTGGATGAATCTGCAGTATTTTCATGATACATAATTCATACAAGAAAACTTGATTTTACCTCAGGAAGTTGAGGTATTAGTTTCTCCTTCTCCTGAACATCTGAGAACTGGGTGTCCATCATCTCCTCTAAGTTGTTGAGGTCCTGATTGGGACTGCATGCCCTCTGTAGTCTGTGGGTCAATCTCTCCTGTTCTAGCCTCCCATGGACAGTCTGGGAGGATTCAGGGAGGGAACTCTCCTTTACTGGAGCCTCTGTCTTCTAGTTCATGCAAGTATTTAGAAAAGAAGAATTTACAGGGGTGTAGATAGGACTTTGATGAAGTATAGGCACCAATTACCCTGTAAACAGCGATCGAGGGGTCTGGGGGCCACCCAAGACCCCCAGTGGCTCCAGGACAGCGTCCTGGTAGGGGGTTCAGGAGGGGGGGGGGGGGCAAAGCCCCCCAACCAAAAATGGATTTCACAATTTTAGACCCCTGCGTGTCAATTCCTGGGCGTTTAAAATACAAAATTCTGAGTCTCTTTAAAATGAAATTTCAAATGAAGTAGAAAATCTTTTAAAAAAAATGCAATCCAACTTTTTTTTTATCAGAGGTCTTTATAGTTAAAGTTAGGAGAGTTTTTTTTACCGGCGTAATCAAATCTACAACACGAAGAAGAAATTTATTTAAAAAGTATTAAAAAAATTATCAGACAAATCAATGTTTTACAATAAATAATGAGCCAATAAAAGCTTTTTCTCAGAAAAGGCTAGTCTACTCACAAAGAAGAGGTAAATTTGGGTAGACAGCCTTAAAATGTTAATTGCTGTTAATTCAAATAAATTATGTAAAAAGACAATTAATACCATACATAACATATTTTGATAGTGTCAGGGGAGTTTAAGGTAAGGTTTGCAACCCCCTCCAAATTTTATTGTTTAAAAATTGTACATATGCCATATATCTATTTACTTGGGAAGAATAGCTTCATTATTTAACACGATTTCAACAGATATTGCCCGTCCCGTTTTTTGAGTAAAAGACGCCAAATTTGAGGTATTTGACGTTTTACATGTAAAGTTATTTTCTATGAAAAAATTGATATATTTTATAAACTATCATTTTAAAATAATTAAAACGGCATAAATCATCATATTTTATGCTTAATTTATCTTAATTTTTTATTTCTGTTATTTAAAATTTAAAAATTTGGGTAAAAAAGAGGATTTTTCAATTTTCTCTAATAAAGTGAAACCGTTGCCATGGCAACCGACAAGTTAAAATCACCATTTTCTATATTTACCGATTCCACAAAAATCCAAGAAATTGTTAATTGGATTATTTTCATTACAATGAACTAAAAAAATATGTATGTCCCCAACACCGTTTCCATGGAAACAGAGACTATATAACGGGTTTTGTATACAAAAATCAGACTTTTTCTGCATTTTTTAAAGTAGACATTGATAAAATTTTGAAAGGCATACTCGTCAAGCAAAATTTTTTATTAGATTGTTTTTTGCCAGAAAATTTATCACAATAACAAACATTCAATGCTAGTAAAAAATCAGTTCATGGAAAGACTCTTGGTATACATGTCCTACTTAAAGCACCTTTACAATATACTATTGATGAAATAGTCAGTGGAATTATGTTTCGACGCATTTTAGAAATACGTGTATGAAATTTATAAACATGATTGAGGTGTATACATCTACATGTATTTGTTCATCGTGGTTTCTTATTATGCTGCTGTTGGAAAACCAGTTTTAGTAAACCAATAAAAGCTTTTTTGACCTCATGTTGATTTAATCATTCCAAAGATTTCAACTAGTACATGTATTAATTTCTGGACATCCTTAGCTAATGTCTTTACTTATCTATGACCAGTGAGGCTAAGTTACATGCTATCATTTGAGTGAAATGTTGTAGGCATTGTATCTAGGTAGCTGCTATCTTAAAACAGTAAGTTAACATATATCTACATACATGCATCAATCATTTTATTAGTCTGTTTATTTGTTTGTTTAATATCTATTCAAGAATTTTTCACTCATATTGAGACGCCACCACTTACCAGTGGAGAGCTACAAATTTAGACCCGTACTCGACACTTATGGCCTTTGAGCAGTGAGGGATCTTTTTCGTGCCTGCAAATACTGTGATACAGGACTTTGGTTTATATGGTCTCATCCAAAGAACCGGTCTCCAATTCCCGCAGTGGGATAAAAACCCACAATGCAAGGATCAACTCCTTACTCCGTGATTCTAGAGCAAACGCTCTAACCACTGCACCATGAGGGTGACTTTGATCAGTCCCAGATTCTTGATAAATGCAGCTGTATGTAAGAAGAAAAAAACATTGGATTCCAAGTTACAAATTCATATTTTAATGATTTTACAGTGCAAGTACTTCAGATTTCAGTCAAATTGTAAAATTCTGCAAAGTTGAATATTGGACAAGAATAGGGAAAAAAAATAACAATGCCATAATGACACAGATATTCTGTCCATCATCTATGGATATTTTGCTACAACAATTTACATGAAATTTTACAAACACTTTTTGAATGGTACATAGAAACTTGTCATTAAAGCAGACATATGCCACATTCAATTAATACCTATGTTGCATACATTCATTTTACTGAATATAAGTTCAAAGATGGAGAAGCAAATTGTACTGTAATCATCTCAGACTCTTATTTTTTCTAAATATAAGGAAAACAGCTTGTAGATAGAATGTTAATGTGCAATCATTGTTTCCATGGATAACATTTATTGGGTAATCATTCTCCTCCAAATCCTGGGCCACTGGTATTGGAATATCAGGTTCCATACTTTGCTTGATCCATCCAACTTTCTTGAACATTCACTCAGGAGCTGGAATATAATGGTCTTTACTATAATAGATGGCACAGATCTTCTAAGCAAGAACTGAAGTACTTTTTCTGATTCTTTTCCAATCAATGATCCATAATATCTGAAATTATGTGTTCATTTTCATATAATGAAAGGAATGAAAAAAACCCAGATGAAACGAATGAATTTCCAACATACTCACTTTATAACTAATAATTATCAGGTTCTATTATAAAAATTAATGTATACATTTCTATAGATTGAATTAGATGAATGCAATCATATAAGCTTGATGAGTGAATTTTCTAAAACACACCCTAAGATTATTCATAAATAGTCATGCATAATCTGGATCTCTTTTTATTAGGGCCCCGCTCTGCGGGTGCCCTATAGTAATCAGTTTGTCCGTCCGTCCGTCTGTCCGTCCGAGATCTCTTGTTCGGAGCATATCTTCTCTCTCCTTGGCCCAGTCTGGCTCATACTTCACCCACAGAGTGTCTTTGGGTAAAGGGTGTGCAGTGACCTTGAACCATGTTTCTAGGCCTAAGGTCAAGGTCATAGCAGAATTATATGAAAAATCCTTGTCCGGAGCATATCTTCTCTCCTCTTGGTCCAATTTGACTCATACTTCACTCACAGAGTGCCACTGGTCAATGGATGTGCATGACCTTGAACGAAGTTTTTAGGTCAAGGGTCAAGGTCAAAAATAGCCTCTCTGTTTAAAAATCTTTGTTTGATGCATAATTTCTTTCCCTTAAGTCCAGTCAGCCTCAAACCTCACCAATTGACTTAGGGTACGGATCATTTGTGATTTTCCTTCCATATTTCTGCTAGAGGATATGCAACAATTTTCATGAGGATATGCAGCATTCGTGATTTTTGTGCCGTTTTTTGATGGAAGGTGTTGAGCACTCGTGATTTTCGTGCTATTTTTTATTATAACGAGGATAACATAGAAGCCTTTAAGACTCAAACAACACACTCTTAGTAGTACACAAATGTTCCTCTTCAAAATAAACCCTTTTCAGCTACCTTACATTTCCATGTTCATTGCTGAAAGCGGGGCCCTTTGAGATGGCCACCATCTCAATGATATCTAGTTAAAAAATGAGATGCATGTACTAATAAATGTAGAACTTCATTTACAGAAAGTATTCCCAGGCCCTCATTAAAACCATTCAATCTAAATTAAATCTATCCATATGCGCCCCCAACCCCCCATAATTTTGCCGATATATAGAATACTAAAGAAAACATAGCTATTATATGCTTGTGCCCCCTCAATAACGTCTGATGACTTTTTTTTTTTGTTTGTCAAGGATTTTTTTAATTATTGGTAGTGCCCATCTAAAATGAAAATGTTTGGGTTTCCTGGTCCCCCCCCCCCTCCCCAAACTGAAATTGCTTCCTACGGGCCTGATCCACATTATTCTTATGAATCACTTGGTGAGGAAAACATAAATACAAACTGTACTTTAGAAAAGCTCACCTGTATTATGTCGTAATTCCAACCTGTGACAGCTGTCTCTATAAGCCCCCATCAAAGGTTACTTCAAACTGCGGAAAAAAAAATATCAATAAAATTAAATTTATAAAAAAAAAAAACAAAACTTATATTCACATGTATCAACTAAACATGTATTTATTTTGAGAGAACCAAAATTTACCTCTGTCAGAGTAGGACAATCAACTGAGCTTAGCAATCAGTAAAGCTTAAACAATACTGGAACATATATAGCCAGTGCATAGAAGTAAAATAGGAAAAGTACCGTAAACCAACTTTTTTTATTCGCATCATCTTTTATTCACAATTCGTCAGTTTGAAATCAATCTGCGGCGATTATTTATCGCGACAAACATTCTCTACAAATACAAAGCAAAATAAATGGTTTGCGCTGAGAAATATTAGTGAATTAAAATATGTCGCGAAACTCACATGCAAATAAAAGTTGGTTTACAGTATTGAAAAAGTCTTGATACGGAGTCCTAGACTTTATGACTTTTACTTTAAATCCCCCTCTTTTTAACCTCTCTTTAACCTTTTTAACCTAATTCCTTTTTGAGATATCATATCAAAGTTTATGATAAAATAATTAAAATTCATACTAAAATCTGTCTTGGGAGAAAATCCATGTGCAGCACATTTAATATCACTTTGTATGTTTTGACTAAAAGACTTAGAACATTTATTTGTTTACTGCATTCAAGATTGAATTTGATATTTTTTTTAAATGGATTTGGGCTCCAGGCCTTTTTTTTTTTTTTATTGAGAACTAATTTTCAGTGAGAAATACACTAGATCTGAATAAGTGTCAATCAATAATTTAAACTATTTCATAAAAGAAAATGATGAAAATGGTTTCCTGATTGTATTAAAAAATGAGAGAGAGGGAGGGAGAGAGAGATTTTTAAAAAAGTTGGATGACAACTTTTTCTGCATTGCAGGGTTTTAGTCACATGTAACTAATCCGAGATTCGCTGCACATGTCATACTGCCTGTAGTAGAGTGTAACATTGAAAATTTTCACCCAAGAAAACCATTGTCAACCGAGGCGCATGATATAGACAGATAAAAGCAGGGGTTAGAGTCAGAGGAATCTCGGATTAACGTGCACCCTGATCTGTTCATTCATTATTACTGTTTATATCCGTTTAGGTAGCTGACAGTTTTCCGTAATTCGAAGTCGTAGTACCGATTATGAACTACAAATACTTAAAAATTAACAGTTTAATAATTACCTGTCTGATGCAACTATATCAAACTGTCAAATGCTCCGTGATTTCACTTCCCTGTTCGGAGTGTATAGAGCATGTAGAGAGTAACAGGATGCTCCCACATCTATTCTTTCATTCGTTCATGATGTCATTTAACATGTTTAAGTGAAGTGGTGAAGTGCATGATTTACAATACATCTGATTCTTTGCTCCTGCTGACTTGAAACTTGCACAGTTCCGTATTGAAAATAAACTTACTAGTCCTCTTTTATTGGGTCATCAATCGTGCATCACGCTAAACGTCTTTCATATGTCCGATAAATTCTTCCGAGATTCCAGCACTTTAAATTGTTATACGATTTTCTACTGGAAATGTCCTTTGTTCCCATCATCATGTTCCTGGTTTGACAGACGAAATTCATTAGCGATTGAATGCTTAGTATCGCTGGTTTAAATTCCGCCGGTTTCAAACGCTTAAGTGAATTATAAGAGTTATCTCCCTGTAATCGCAAACCTTACCTTAATATCTATTATTAATTTCACGTGCATGTAGAAATTTTAAAGACATTTTATAAGGAGTCCTACAGTGAGGCAGAGAGTAACTATTGCAGGTTATTATTACCATGCACAGTTTGGTGGTCATTTATATATTCATGATCTCTTTCAATGGTCAAAATGATATTTAGTCGTTTTTATAAAAAAAATTTCTGAAAAAATTATGTGTAGGCACGTGCCTCAAGTGCCTAATGGCAGCTACGCCACTGATTTCAGAATCAGTATGCTGACAAGTAAAGCAATTTCATAAGAAACTGTATTTTAAGGACACGAAACAAAAAAATTGGATGCATAGAGCTTTAAGTTTTTGTAGTTATTTTGGTTGCAAATGATGCATACATGTACGAGGGGTGATCAATAAGTTCGCTAACTAATTGAATTACTTCCATTAAAGAAGAAAATTAGGTTTCAGCATGTATTATTTTTTAAAGAAGTCCCCTCCAGTTTCTAACGCACATCTGCCAATGTTTTGTTCCAAACGCGAAACACGTGGTCCAGGCGGTCATGTGACATGCTCATTAGCATTCTGTTCTTAGCAGCTAGAAGATTTTTCCAAGTCTTATAATTAATACTAGTATGCAGGTTATTTTTTATAACTAGAATAGTCCATTTGTCACAAATGACCTAATCTCTGCAATATGATGGGTGGATAAGAATATCTTTCACCAGAAATTGAGCATGGTGACCATCACAACCCAACACCTCTGTTTTAGATGCGTCATTTTTTAAATGTGAATCAAGTATAGGCACATTCTCTTTATCATATCTGATATGTTTAAAGTCTAAAGTAAATGATATTTTAGGGACTTAATAATTATTTTATTGTTAAGATATTCAACTATTTTTCTAACTGTATGTTAGCAATCTTTCATGTAACAGATTGCTCAACTAAGGACACATCTCTTTCCCAGCATACTTTCAATGGGCACCAGAACAAACATTATTTTTAACCATCTCCCTTCCATTACTAAACGATCAATCCAATTAATGATTGAAATTCTGGAAGTCTTTTGTCTTCATAAACACTGTACAAATTATTATATATGCCACTGCAAAGGAATTTCCAAGATTGACGCTAATCTTTACAGCCGTTCCTTCCTCAAGTAAGACATTTTTATAAGTCACAAGTGACCTACATTGAGGTCATTTTCACATTGTGATGTCATAAACATGGACCAAACATTACGTAACATCTGCTATTTATAGAACGTGTTCATGACTATCTGTGTGTCAGTTTTTTTTTATCTGAATTGTGGTTTTGTAAATATAAAGATAGTTCGCGAACTTTTTGATCAACCCTCGTATAATTATGTATACATGTAAATCAAATCTCTAAAATATGAAGAAATTGTAGACTTTTTATGGAGTTTAAATTTCTTCCTTTTTGTCATTACCCTTATAAATCTATATGATTTTTTTTAAATCAATTTATAGGACATTACCCTCTGGTTGGTCAGTTTGGTGTCTTCATGGCAGCCATGTTTTCTTTCCGACTCCCTGGAAGTTCTGTGTCTCTCCCACCCCTGAGAGATCCTCCCCTATCCCCTCTCCTTCTTCCTCCGGGTGCATCCACCTCTACCATCAATAGGTCAGGAGGAGCATTCACTGATTTGTCGCATTCCTGCTGAATGTTAGTGATGGACGTCTGAACACTTGTAACACCTGTATTGTAATTAAAACGATATACATGTTATTTCTGCTTCAAATATACATGTAAATGTATACTGTATATATACATATAGTAAGCTCACCTCTTAGAGATGGCTGGAATGTTCCATTTTTTTTGCTGCCTGATTAAAAAAAACTTCTTTCTTGACAATCAGGTGAGTGCTGGGTTTACTTATTTTTTCGCTGGCTTTAAGAGCAAAATGGAACAAAAAATCTTGAAATCTATAAAAAAAAAGTAGGCACATTAACTCATTTGAAAAGAACTGCATGTATATGTTATTTGTAGGTTTTATATAAGTTTTCTGCTTTTACATTTAATGAGGATCATGTTTTTTTCAAAATGATATAGAACACACGTTTACTTCAATATCAATACAAAAAATGTACGTATACATTACAATAAAATCAGCACTTACTCAGCACCCAGGAGTTCAGAGATACGCCTCAGACAACCTCTCTCTATCGCAACAAAACCACTACAAATGGATTAACACATTCAAATCATAAAAACAGCATTTGTTTTCAAACCCAATGGGAATGGTTCTGACACCAATTCAATTGGGAAAGATATAGTATCAAAATAGAAGAAATTGGGAATTTTCTATATTAACGAATGATGTTTATATTACACTATTCTAATTAAACTCTTAATTATTAATACATGTTTTAAAGAATATAAACAAGTATTCCTTGTTTTACATATTAATGTCTCTTGTACTCATATTTTCAAGCTTTCATTAGTTGTCAATGGTGATAAACACGAGGCCGTCTACAACACGTCTCACTATTACAAATGATCCCTTCTTCTGATTTAAGAAGAAGTAAAAAATTTCCGTTCTAATATGCAATTTTCAGTCTCAAAATTTGGAAAAATCAATATTTTTTGGCATTGGAAATGGTTCTGTTTATCGGATTTTAATTCAATAACTCCATTACAAGGGACAAAATCATTAAGCTTATCAAATTACAAGATTTTTAAGTGATTAACTACAGAAGGGGTCTCAGAACTAACCAGGCACTTACCTGACAGAGACAACACAGCCTGAGAGAGGGGCATCATCCATCTTAATATCCATAGGAGAAAACAACACATTACTGCTCACAGGC